CAACTTATTCACGCTGTTTCCTCCAGATGAGAATTTTGACTGTGTAATTGACATTGAGGCTACAGCAGTGGCATACTACGTTTATTCTGTAAATCAGTGTGTGTGGAAACATCCTAATTTTCTGATGTTGAAAGCACTGAAGGGTAAAAAAAAATGTTAAGATTGACCTCAGTGAGCTTTCAATGAAGACATAAGCAAAGTTTGTGCAGGCTTCTTAGCCTTCAGTATGAAAAAAAGAAATGCCCATCTCAAACAGTTTGTAGCCACCTTTTTCACATGCTAATCATTCTACACTGGTGGTATATGACTAACACTGATTTTAAAAGCAAAATAAGTCTTAATAGATGATACACTGAGTCACAGAAAGATGCCTGAAATAGTCATTTACTGTTATTTGTCATCTTGTACAGTTTATGGAAATAATTAGTATTCCATTTGACAAACAAGTGCAAACATCCATTAGCTAAATGACACAACATATACTTTGACTAGGTCTGTAACTTTCACTAGAACTCTATCAATAGTAACTGTTGAACAGTGTCATATAGGAGCGCACATCTTTTAGTATAATTGCTCTGGTTAGGAGGCCACTGAGGTATTTAAAGAAAGAAAAATTATTGGACAGCCTAATCTGTCTTTGAAATCAGAAGAAAAGAGAAAAAAAAAATCTTTGTAATCTGTAAACTACAGATACATGGAGTTGGTCTTATGAATTTATTGATCTACAACTGAGTTCTACCCCCAGATCCATAAAAAATTATCAAAAATCAGAGTGGAATAGAGCAAGAATTTTGTTATGTGATTACTGTTTGTTCTGTAATAACGTTGAAAATTGTCAATTGTATACAAAAATACAGAAGGAAACTTTTCCCACTGTATTCTGAGTGTGAAGAACAGCTTGAATAATTATATCTAAAAATTTTGAAATTAGCTAATTAGCTGTAAACATTAGATTATTTTTTTTAACTTTTCATCTGAAAGTTTACACCTGAGTTATAAGACCTAAGTTCGAATGCATCTACATGTGTAACCACCACTTATAAGATTCTGTTGTGGAGATGTAACTGATGGGTTTGCTCATGATGCATGAAGCAGAATTTAATTCATTTTCTGTGGGTTTTCTGCTAGCTATGGTAGAAGTTATTTTGAAAATACTTATTATACACAGACAGGAGCAAAGTTGATGAGGCAGAGCTCCTTTTATGCATTTATAATTTTTAAAAAAATGTTTTCTATAAATATGCTGTTTTCTTGCAGCTATTGTACATAATATAGATCCCTCAAACTGATCTTTAAAGTAAATTTCTGTTCAGAAAGATGACCAGTCAAATGGCAACAAATGCAATGCTGTTGTCTACACACTAGAAGAACAAGTAAAAATGTACTGGACTTAGACTTGCAAAATTTTCTCCCTCCATGGTAAACCATTAGGAGACCAGGAGGTCTGGCCAGGTTCTTCCCCAGGGTCCTGGTTGTGCTGAGGCACTTTTAAGTGACTGGGACTGAATAGTTCCTCCATATTTGAGAGAACATAATTTCAGTTCTGGCTAGACAGATAGATGGCAGAGGCATGTTCCTGCTCACTGAACTTGCACCCATACAAAAATCAGAAATAAGTATCTTCTGATATAAATATCCTCTCATTCTGTAAACACACAAGCTTTCAGAAAAGATCCTATGATATACATTCTGCAGCAAAATTGTACTTTCAGAATTATCAGTGGAGACATGTCAGCTCCAATATGCTTGTACATATCCAGATATTTTGTACTCTGTACAGAACTACAGGTTTCTGTTACTGCACAAGAAAGTAAAGAAAGCATCTCTTTTGCACCTCAGCAAAAACCTACTTTTAAATATGTTAAAAATATACCCAAAATTCTAAAAAATTGATTAAGGAGCATAATCAATGCTGGAAAGTAGTTATGCTTCAGCATTTATTTGTTTTAAACTTTGTCACAGAAATGACCATCAAAAGACTTACAAAAGGTTTCAGTCTCACTTGAAGCAGTAAGAAAGCACTTGTTGCATCCATCTCAGTGCACCAGTCTAACTGAACTGGTAAAAAATGGAAGTCGAAAGAGGAGTCTTTCTGGGCTTCATACCATCTTGGACTTCTTATAAATGGTGTCATACCCATATGAAGCTATGTGCCACCTCTTTCTATGTGTCTGATAAAAAAAGCACGGTTTTGACTAGAACCCTGTGTTGTAAAGTTATATTGACTTCGGAAGTGCTGAGAAGCCAGTGGTCCTATTGAAGCAGATGGTAAAAGCAAGCCTGTCAACCAGGAACTGAGAAGGCCTGTGGTGTTGCAATTTAACGCATACAATGCCTGAAAGTCGTTATGCCATTAAACTTACAGGTTGGCAGGGAGGCACAGTGAGGGCAGTTATCAGTGGCGCCAAAAGCACACCATGAGCACGTCCCCATGGTACTGAACATACTCTAGGGGGAAAGTGCTCTGAAACTGCAAGCACTGTATTCAAGCTACTAATCTAGGCTTATTAATTTTGCACTACTGAAGCTATGGTACTTCACGGACCAAGGCAGTATCTCTAAATGTAATCAAAACATGGTTATGAAAACAGACCAGTGCTAGCTAAAAATTTTTTCGTGTTGTGCTCCATTACATGTATGGATAAGTCTAGTGCTGGCTCCCTTATGTGTTTGGGGAGAATACACTTGGTTACTGCTTGCTCTTGCAGAAAATGTGAAAGATCAGCCTGGTGAAAGCCATCCTTAAGTGGACAGATTCCAGAAATGGACTTTGCTCCTCTTTCAGCGTGAAGAAACTCATGTAGGCTCTAAATGATGTCTCTTAAAATGAAATGCTGTCTCAAATTCACCATAGATGTAACATAACCGAAGACATTAAGCTAATTGATTTTGACTGTTTATAGAGAATTTTTTAGATATTTTAAAAATATACTCTGTAATATAAAATCATATATATAGATGGGTAAAAAAGTGTAAAAATGCCATTATGTGTGTTCATGTAAGCAACAGTAACAATTGCCTAAACAGAACTCCAGTCTTAGGCAAGCTGTAGATGCTTGAACAACTATTCTTAGTCATTCCAAAAGTGCTTCATTTCCTTAGTTATTGCATTACTGGGTGTTTTCATCCTATTTAGCTTATTTTGCAGTCTAGCAGGGTCCATACTAGGTCAGTATATAATGATCTATAATGAGCTGGTATCTGCGGCTGTTGAGACCAGACACAATTACTGTAAGTGAGCTTGCCATTTTCTGCATGTTTTACTGTCGGTTATCAAAACGCCTGGTGGTGAGCGTGATGTTCTGTTTAGCTGCAGCTTCTATACTTTATTCAACCAGGGATCATCATGGTGAGTTCTTGGGAAACATTCTTGTTACTAGCTTACTTCAGAGAACTTGAGAACTGGATACATATTTTGTTCAGCAGTTCAGTAAAATATTGAAGTAGGTTAGTAAAAAGGTGAAGGCATATTTACTCAAAAGCGCTTTGTATTGTAAAAAATTCAAAAGCAAAATTAGACCCAATTAAAAACGTCCAACTGCTACAGTGATAGAATTTTATGCATTCTGGTTCAAGTATTGTAGTCCTTATTCATATAAAATTTCCTCTTAAAGGGCCATAATATTCAATAGCAAATTTAATCTCACAAAATTTTGTTACTGTTTAGAACTGGCAGCATTTGTCATTATGCAGTTGTGTGGCCATAAGACAAAGGGGAAAATTGGACCATTCGTTTAGCCACTGGCTAGAACAAACTCCCCTTCTTGAATAAAGGACAGAGGGGGACAAGACTGGGAAAGGCCACGTGTTATTTTACACTGTAATTACCAAAAGGGTTAGGCAGCACATAACAGTGGCTATCATAAAAACAAGCTAGAGAAATAAAATAAGAGAAAATCAAATCACTGTCTTTAAAATGACAGACCAAACTTCATCAGTGTGCTGACCCAAAGGCACCCTGTCTGGCAAAAAAAATACAGGTGATTTAGCCTTTCCACACAGAATCATCTTCTCTGTTCACTACCCCCTTGTACACCATCTTGTAACACACACATTCTTCTTATACAGAAAAAAAAAAAGATGATGATACTCACTTCTCAGGCACTACTGCTGAGAAAATTCAGTACGTTAAGTAAGCTACCAAGCTACATTATAACCACTATCCATTTATACAAACATAAGCATGACCATACTGGGTGAGACCAAAGACTCCTGTAGTCTACTTCATCTGTCTCCAGCCCTGGTCAACAAGCAGATCCCTAAGGCATAGTATAAAAATGGGGCAATCAAGTGTGTTTCCTTTGGATCTTTTCCTAGCCTCCAATAATCTGCAGCTCATGAATTTCTTTAACCAAGTATGTTTAATGCCCTCAACAGATTTTTCTCCATGCTTCCCAGACTCCTGTAAATTTAAGTTTTCAAGGTCTTGCAGCAAAAAGTTCTTCACAGTAGCGTGTTTGGGTTGTTTGAACCTACCATCCACTACTTTCTGTAATCTAGATTAATAAAATCTACACTTTCTGTAATCTAGATTATTAACAGCTGTCCCCTGTACTCCTTATGGGAACCTGACTTGGTCATCAGAGCGATAAAGCTGAGATCTTGAATACCTTTCTCTGTCTGTCCCACCAGACAGGGTAAGGTGACCTTAGTATGGGTACTTCTGTTGGTACTCTTCAAATTTGAGTCACTTTTCCACTGAGATTGCACTCTTGGTACATATGTAAATTTTCTTCCACCCCTTTCTCCTGCTTTTTTGCATCATCTGTATTTCCTTCCTTAGAGTGAGAATGATTCCCTTTCCCGTGCACGCACATTCTCTTTCCAAACGCAGTGTATCAGGACCCCAGTAGTACCAGGTGCTAGTTAACACTTTCATTGCAAGTATATTACTCTTCTTACTTTAACGCGTGATTTCCACAATGCCTGTTTTATCACCATGTAGTAAAGGAAGAAAAGCCAATGTATATAATAAAAACAAAGGGTTTTTGGCCACTTACCAAGTGAAGATAAGACACAGTAAGGTAGATATTAAAATGAGGACTTGGTTAAACATTGCAGACTGTGTGCGTTGGATGGCTCTGTGAAGATCATTCTATATTAATGGAAAATAGGTGTTATTTTTGGTTTTGAATTAATAAGGCATGAGCTGATTCTATAGAGGAATTATATAGTGCCCTGATAAAATACAGTCATTCAAATGATAGATCCTATAGAAGGGTGCAAAAGAGCCAGCTGTGATTCTGTGATTATTTAAATAGTTCTTTGTTCATCCTGGCACCATTCTGATACTATTGCAAGCTGCCTTAAGATCTGTCTGCTCATGTCTAGCTTTCAAATTACAGGCTGCAAGGACCAATTAAGGCATAGCAGCTGAGTTCCCTGCAATTGTGTATGAATGGAAGAGTAGCAGAAGAACCAGCCATTCCAACTTTCCCTTATCGGCACAGTAACAATTTATACAAATTGAGATTTCACTTGATGTCTTAATTTTTTCTAATTTTGATGCAGAAAGCAGTTTAGCAATACTTGACCATTTGTATAATCTAAATACAGATCTGGTTAGCTTCCTATTAAAGTTGGACAGTGGACTGTACTGCCAAAATCCCACTAAAGACAATATACTAAAAAACCAGAAACTCTAAAATAGTTATTTCCTTTGTCATACTTACAATCATATTCTCTAAAGCATGCTTTGCCAGCCAACAATTTAAAAATACAGGAATAAACAGGTTTCTTAGGAATGGCCAGAAAATCTGAAAGAAAAATTAACAAATTCATTAAAAGCTTTTCTATTCAAGAATAGAGCTTTTTTATTCAAGCAGCAATGAAACACTTGAGCAAAACACTTATTATTAATGTGTTTCTGGTGTAAGATATGGCTTTAAATAACACTTTTTCTTCCTTTGTGATAAACTGTATACAAGATAATTTGATAAAATAAGGACAGTCAGTTTTCAGTGCAGACACCAGAGATTCTTACATTTTTATATCTAGCTGGTTTATTTTATTGATTGTGCTGTAGTTTGAGTTAGAGGGTTTTGGTTTTGTTTGTCCCCTATGAGGGAGGAAGAGGAAAGTGATCTGTATTATTACTTCATTCAAGTAGCAAACTATCTTCTTGTTGTTGACAAATTTCTGTTCCCACAGGCACAAATTTGTCATCCACATAAGATTCAAATTTACTCCAATAAAAATTAAGAGTATTTGCGCGGCTATAAAAGTGCGATGTGCAAATGTATTAATTCAAATATGTTTACCGTGATGATGAAAGGGACAGCATTAATTATTTCCAGTAGAAAGGGTATTCTCAGAATTTGTTCCCAGATATTTCCCTTCAAAGAAAAGGAAAAAAAAAAAACACCATGTCACAGTAGGCTTACATATAGTTCTGATGAGAAGTATATGTGATATTCCAATGCCACATATGGAGTCTCTCCCACTAGCTGAATTTCAGGAAGATCATTCACCTCAGATTTAAACATATATGTCAAATGTGAATATAGAATATAGGCCACTCTGGCCTATTTTTCTTACTGTTTATCATAATGTACCTCACAGGTAAAAATATATACTTTTAAATCTGTATTTTTACTAGAGCAGTTCTCTATTTCCATATATTTTCTTGCTATGACCTAGTTAGTAAGACAGCTCAAATGGAGAATTCTAATTGCATTAACTAGTCAACTCATTCTCTCAGCTAATGAAGAGATTCATTAAATTAAGTTTTCATTTTTTTCAGAGAATAATATGCTCCTGTTTTCTTCTATTGCATTTTTAGGTACCTTGGAATCACACACAGACATCTTGTCTCTGTTTTTTCGTTCTTCAAAGGTTAGTTTACTTTTATTTTTACGTGCAGGCTTACACACAGATAAGGAGGTGAGGTTCCTGTCCTAAGGAATTATCTTTTTAGTAATTCTCATTTTTCAATGACTCTTCATACAAGTAACAGACAACCCTGCTGGCAAATTCTTTTATCTGCAACTGTTTCTACTTCTTTCTTAGAAACCTCTAAATCTTTAAAATCGTGCATTACAGTGCTTTAGCTTTTGACTGTGCCCAAGTATTTCTTACCTTAATGCTTATTGACTTAGTGTCTAAAAACTAGAGACAAAGCCCTAGTACAGTGTAAGTGTTGCAGAGACATATATCCAAAGGACATGCCCTGCTCAGAAGATTTTACCATCAAATCAACTGTTTTGATTACCCCTATACACAGGTGACTGCCCTATAGTCCATACTAACGTTTGTTATGAATGATGAGCCACTCTCTGTACATCCTTCTGATAGAACTTCATGGCAAAATATAAGCAAAAGAGGAATGCAAATATGCTGTATTTTCCAAAGAAAAAATACCAGCTTGTTTTCTCTTAATCTTGTTTCATTAGCCTCTGCATGTTAGCCTCTGGGTCTGGATATTTCTCTTTATTAATTCTAATCCTGCTATTAAGATATTAACTTATTAAGAAATAAGTATTAAAAAGAGGAATGAAATTAAG